CTTTAAAACAGAGGTTCACTCTCGTGGAAAAGCCATTTGCCCGTTAGGTCTCAACAAATCTTGTCCTGAAAGCAAGCAGGAAAATTTTCCTAGTCACAATACTTCCTAAAACTAGCTTGCTATAACTAGACAAACTTCTAATTTTAGACAGATAAATAAAAGATGGACATTACAGCTCTAGATACGTGCCTTTATGTTAGTATTTTGATTATCCATCATTGGTGTTGCTATCTGAGAGTAGTTAAAACTGGAAAAGATCTTAAATTTTATCCCCATTCCATTATTTTACTGATGGCGTAACTAAGTTCCAGAGAAGCTGAGTGACATGTGAAGGTCACCCTCGTAGTTAGTGTTGAAGTCAGGATTAAACCCTCGACACTCTAACTTCCAGTATGGTACATTTTTCTAATGTATTACTTTACACCTAGGTGCAGTTATTCACACACCGGAACAAAATCTGCAGTAAAACGTATGAATAACTCTGTCCTAAAAAGTAATTATAACAACGATTAAAATGATTTTTAATTAATCTGTGTAAAAACATATAAATGTGTCATTTCATACACGTGCCACTAAACCCTAGTGGGAAATGTATATGCAAAATTATAAACTTTCATTCAATGACCTATCCAGAAATTGTAGATTTACATAGTTTCTTCATAAATATTGCTTCAAACTATATGTCTGTTTTATGCAAAGAAATACCTCACTGAGCAATGCCCTAAAACACTAAAAGTAAATAATATTTCCATTAAAAGAAAAAGAATAGAAAATGATGATGAAGAAGAGAGGGGTAAGGCTTCAATCTGTTAAAAGAGAGCATTTTGTTCTTCGGTAACTCCGTGTTTGAAGGGGGAAGGATAAGTACAGAGGCGTGACAAAGGAACCTCTTCTCTTACCTTGCTGTCATCTCGTACCTTCCTAAGATACGACCCCCTTGGCTGCAAGCAGCTCTTGTGAAAGTAGACAAAGAGGGCAGAAAGATCAGCAGCAGAGCCCTCCTCCTTGACAGGTGAATAGAAGTGGCACTTCTCATGCTGTTACTAATTTATTAAGTATTCCAAAGTTAGAATTTAATCGGAATATTTTTGTCACATTATCCATCACCAACTCAGAAGAGATGGAATTTTCTTAAACAGCTGCACAGTGCAGTGCCTTAGGCAGGCTTTTAGTCATTTCAGTTTGTCACAATGGACGAGTTCCATTTTAATGATTTAGTTAATTGTGTGACAAGCTATGAAAAATGTGAGTGACCCAATACCTAGTCCAAGGAATCTGCCAAGGTCTAAGCGGCTAAGTTCCTGAAAACCATTCTCATTTGCAAATAACCATTTTTTCCTTAAATTCCCACCTTTCCCTTTTCCTTTTATAAACTTCAGATTTCACATGTTAAGCAAAAGTCAAGTTAGAGAATAGCATTTCATTTATATAAAGACAAGATGAACATTATAAAAAGTCACATTAACAGTTTAAATGATCAAGTTAAATAAGACACGATTTAGGTGAAAAGATAATTAAGTGTTGAAAATGTAATGATCCATTTGACAATGGGAGAATAGAAGATGCAGAGAATTCCAAATACAACCGCCCCATCTAGAAATCACATTTAGTATTCCTTACAAGAGACTTTATGAATCTGATTAGTACTGTGTTAGTTTAAAACTCAACCTATCATTTAATTAAGGCAAACTCATATTATATAAAATATACACTTTATAATCACATAGAGTCAGGGACAAGTATCTTTTCTAAAACTCATGCATCATAGGAACATCAATCAACAGAAAATAAAAATAACAATATGTGTCTCTACTCTGCTTTGATTTTATGTGAGCATTTTATTGTTACCCTAGACCACCCCCACTAATTCCTTCTTTCAAAGCATTTAAAATTTTCACTTCACCTTGGCAGCAAAGTAACAAAGAGAAGAATTCTAGAAATAACTCAAAATACAATTAATAACACACCTTCACATTCAAATCAAAATATACTAATCTCCATGACATTTTGAAACTAAGATGTTCTTTTGAGTCAGAAGATCTAGGTTCAAGTAATTGATAGACGCATCTTGGTTAATCTCCCTGAGCTGTGCTTTTTGCAGATGTCAGTTTGGGCGAATGTTTACCTTACCTGATGATTGTGAAGAGAAAATGTTATGTGTATAAGCAATAATATAGGTGTTTATTAATAAGACTCTGTGTTATGCTGCCATAGATTAGGCAGTAAGAAGGCAAAAGAGCAAATTCTATGGCACAGTGAAGGTCTCCAGGTAGGTACCACAACCACAGAGTGACCGTTGAAGGATTCCTGGCACCATTCAGAAAAAAAAAAAAACATATGTATATATATATATATATATATATGAAATAGAACCCATTCTACAGAAACAAACCATGACATATTCTAAATAAGAAACAAATTACAAACTACAGTATTGAACTCCCTGTTAAATGGATCAGGTGAAGTACTGCATCTTTTGCTTCTCTATTTTTGTAATACTTAGCCATTCTATGCTCCCAGCACTTGATCACCATGCTCTAAAGACTTTGAAGTGGGATATATGTGCATTGAAATGCAACGCTAAAATGTAGACAGTCACCTGGTCACAACAAACCAAATGCATAGCCATTCTGTGACAGCCACCATGTCATCAGTTCACAGCGGGTTTCAGGCTCACAGACTGCAGTGTTGTCTGAATGACTTTCTAAAACACCAGACAGAAGACATACTAACACTCTTCAACCAAAAGATTTAGATGAAAAGGAGAGGGGCTGATGGCATTCATTTACAGTTTCTTTCTTTAAAAAACTAGTGTGTTTTTCAATTTAAAAAAACTTACACACAGAACAAGTTTTTTTTTAACCTAAAATAAAGCATAAAAATCACTATGTGAGAGATTTTCATTGTTAACCTTTAAGCCGTATGATTAGACTAAAATATTTAAAGCTCTGTTGCAAAAGGAACATGTTCTTTAAAAAAGGGATGCAAGATCATTTTCATTTTGGGGAGTTTACATGATGCTCTTATAATATGATTTAGCTCTGCGTACATGATCCATTAATTCATCAGAATGTTCACATCTCCATGCAGAATCTGTCTTCCTGCATGCCTACCAAGTCTCCAGTTCTACTACTAAAACTACGTTAAAACTTAATTCATTAATGACTCAATATTGCAGCACTAGTCTCATAATCTATTTACAGCTGACTTCACTTCCAAATTAATTCAAATGGCCAAATGCGCTCCATTATTTATGATCTATCAATCAGCTCACTGTATACCCAGAACCTTCCAGATGTGCTTGTTTATGCCTCATTTATACCTACTGACCAGGAATCGTGTTTGTGTACCAACTGGAGCATTAGTGTGTAATTATTAATGATACCTCTGCTTACGGTTGCTTAAGCCCAGACATCTTCTGAAGGATCCAGTCACCTTTAGTGGTAAGTTAACAGAATTTTGAAAAAGAACTTTCTCTGTGGAGGATTTT